GAGCAGGGAGCCCAATGCGGGACTCGATCCTGGGACTCCAGGATCATGACCTGAGCCGAAGGCAGTCGCTTAACCAACTGAGCCACCCAGGCGCCCCGACTGTGTGTGTTTTTAAATACTGAATTGCTCAAGGGCTCATCTGAATCTGAAAGCATGTCTATATATAATACACCATCAATCTTCAATATTTATTTTCTCGTCACACTAAAAACAGAGATATGTAGAGACAGAATTCCTAATCAGACACATGTCACAGCTAAAACATTTCACCAGGGGAAGTTTAAAAATTCCATGAGAGATTTTTCTTTTTGTGGGTGAATTCCACTTTACTAGACTTCAAAAAAAGAAAAAAGACAACCTATCAATCAACAGTGCAAGTGCTGGCCTGCATTCAGTGCAGGGAGCAGCGAGCCTTCCATCTCTTGCTAGGCCGCTGCCATTGTTTAAATCCTTTGGCAGAAATGTTGCACATACAGGTTCCAATCAAAAGATAAGTATTCCTCACAGTGCTTTTTCCTCCCAAATATAGGAAAAAATGACCCCTGAACTTTACTACTTATCTGTGCTGCTGTCAGTGAGCAGCTTGGTTTCTACAGGTAAGCAAAACTTTCCAAGTAACTTATCCTTGTCAAAGCCTTCAAGGAAGTACCTGCTCAGCTAGGGCTGTCACAGTGTAAGGAGGAAGCCCTGGTTCCTCCTAAAGCAAGAGCTCCAAGAAGCAAAGGAGTAAAAAGCCATCCTTTTCCCATGACTTCCCATCCATTTAATTAGATCCCATTCATCCTGCAGTGCTTTTCTCGGGCCTGGGGCTGAGCTGGCTGGCCAGTGCGGCCTGCACACAACCAGACACTCGACCAACGGTCTGACGCCGGCACGGGAGCCCTCTGGTCTCGGCTTCACGCAGATGTCTTCGGCAGGTGAGCCTGTCCGAGCAGCAGGGCCACCTGACCGCTGCCGGAGCAGAAGCTCCTCTCCCACCCTGCCGCTCCTGAGTGAGATGGTCAGCTGACATCAGAACTACGGCCATAGGAAGCACATCAAAACCAGTCATCTGAAAGTTGTCTTTAAATATCGATTAGCACTGACAATCGATAAAAAAGAACAGTTCAACCCAAATCACTGGATTGACATCACAACCAAATTCACCCCAAATAAAGATACTCTATTAAATACTTTCAAGATTATGACACTGACTTTCTGAACCTCCTTTTTTGTTTCATGAAACTATTATCATCAGCTGGATGGTAGCTACAGAAATAAGCACTGAAAAGGAAGAAGGAAAATAGAAATCTTAGTAATGAACAAAAGTTTAGATTTAGTTTCAAGAGCATACAGTGATTCAGATGGTATATTTGAACAATTTGTTCTTTAAAAATGTAGTGGGGGGGAGCCTGGGTGGCTCAGTCGTTAAGCGTCTGCCTTCAGCTCAGGTCATGGTCCCAGGGTCCTGGGATCGAGCCCCGCATTGGGCTCCCTCCTCGGCGGGAAGCCTGCTTCTCCCTCTCCCACTCCCCCTGCTTGTGTTCCCTCTCTCGCTGTCTCTCTCCCTCTGTCTGTCAAATAAATAAATAAAATCTTTAAAAAATAAAATAAAAGTAAAAATGTAGTGGGAAATTTTAGAGTAAAAATAACCAAAATCTCCTCCATATGGGTGACAACAATCTTCTGCATCATGACAGTCAAGGTTGTCTAGAGAAAATAACTAATTGATCCACATAATGTTCATCTTCTTGCTTTTCCTGTGTGTATTCACAGATTCTGAGGTATTTTAAGTAGGAGCTAGTTAATCACAGATGCTCTCAACGTTTTTAGAAAGTGAAGACAACTCTATTTCTTGAGGAAAAGAACTATCTATGGCAGGAGGATCAAATTCAATATAAACATCTCCCAACACACCTATGACAGGCACAGACCTTCACAAGTGGGAATGACTGTTCTCCACCTCCTTCTCTACTCAGGGGACACCTGCCGGAGGAAAAGTTACCTAACAAACACTATCCATCTAGCACGTTGACATTTCTGAGGGCTTTCCATATCTCAGACATAGTGCTCAAACTTATGAATTAGAAACTTGATTGGGGGGTGGGGGGGGCGCCTGGGTGGCTCAGTCAGTTAAGCGTCTGCCTTGGGCTTAGGTCATGATCCCGAGGTCCTGGGATCAAGCCCCACATCGGGCTCCTTGCTGAGCGAGGAGCCTGTTTCTCCCTCTCCCTCTGCCCCTTCCCACCACTTCTGGTCTCTCTGGCTTGCTCTCTCTCTCTCTCTACCTCAAATA